GTAGGGGTGGCGGGAGGAGATGGGGAAAGGGAAGAAGGGAAAGGAAAAATTATGAGAAATGGAAAAAATGGAAACAAAGTCTATGTAAATAGGGAAGGGTGGAGGGGGTGAAGGGCGCATAGGTAATGGGGAAAAAATAACTAAGATACATCATGTACAGGTACAAGCACCCAATGATAAATGTAAGTGTATTGTGTACCTAAAATGTACCAATAAAAGATTTAAAAAAAAAAAAAAGAGCGTTGTTCGGGTGGCTGTGAGCTAATGCGCCCACTGCATGAGTCCATGGGAGAGACTGGAAGCACATCCAACGCCGTCATGTCTGGAAGTGGGGTGGCAGCACCCAAGCAGGGGGCAGGGGGCAGGAGTCATTTTCCCACGGGCCCCAGCTTTCAGGCTGCAAGACGATGCATTCTGAGACCTTCGCACAGTGACGTGAACATGCTTTGTGCTACACACAAGAGTGGGTGCGCTGGGAGATTTTGTCATGTGTTTCCACCACAGGGAAGGGATGGGCAGGAAGAGAGTGAGGTGGTCTGAGCAGGCCCAGAACTTTCCTGTCAGCCTCGAAAAAAGCAAATAGCTGCCTGGTGTGATGGCGCATCCCTGTCATCCCAGCACTCTGGGAGGCTGAGGCAGGAGGATCACAAGTTTGAGTCCTGCCTGGACAACTTAGTAACTTAGCAAGTAACTGTCTCAAAATAAAAAATAAAAATAAAAAGAGCTGGAGATGGAGGTCAGTGGGAAGGCCCTGGGTTCAACCCCCAGTGCCACAAAAACAAACAAAAAAAAGCAGCCAGTTTGTAAACAGCCTGTGAGGGCTGTCGGGCAGAGACCCAGAGTGACCTCCAGTTGAGCACTGAGCCCCACCCGACAGCCAGCTCGAAGACGGGGTCCTTTTCCCATATGGTCATAGCAGCAGCCCAGCGAGGCTGGGAGGAGGACCCTGACTTCGAGAGCAGACCTCAGTGCAGCCCATGGCGAGGGTCAGGCTTCGGAGACTGAGAAGAGAACGCAGCTGAGCCGAGCCTCGTGGGCACTGCGTTACCTGCTCATCTGTGGTGATTTGTTTTTGTTTTTTTGGTACCAGGGATCGAACTCGGGACCTCGCACTTTCGAGGCAGGTGGCGGAACCACTGAGCTAAACCCCCAGCCCTCATCTGGTGGTGATTTGTTACACAGCCCAGCTGACAGACACACCTTCTGCCTTAGCTCCATTCCAAAGATGACAAAAGAGCAGAAATCGGCTAAGTCAGTTGCCCAGAGCTGTGACTGTCACCCAGGCCAGACCACAGGCTCTGTAAAGTCAGGGATCTGGTCCAACCCCTCCAAGATATTTAGAGAGTGAGTGAAAGAAAGAATGAACCAAGTGTGGTGCTGCACACCTGTCATCCCAGCTACTCAGGAGGCCGAGGAAGGAGGATCTTGAGTTTGAGGTCAGCCTGGGCGACTTGGCAAGGCCATGTCTCAAAATAAAATTTAAGAAAGACACCGGAGGCTTGGCTCAGTGTGACAGTCCTGGTTTCAATCCCCAGTACTGCAAAACTAAGTAAATAAAAGGCAGGATGGGGTGAGGAATGGAAGGCGGGGGGAAGGAGAGCACGCTAGAAGACAAATCCTCACCTGACTGGTGACACAGCAAGGACAGTGACCAGAACTTCAGCAGCACAGTCAAGGTGCCTGAGGAGATGACAGACGACAGCTGAGTCAGCTGCTGGCAAGGTCTGAGCTCAGCACCTCCTGGAATGTGATGCTCTGTCCTCTCGCCCTGACTAATGAACGTCTCGGCTGATTCACAGCTGTGCTTGTAACGGGAGGCCAGCTGGGACCGTGCACCCGGGTGCCCTGAGCCGCCAGGAGGGAAGCAGAGCAGGTCTGGCCAGCTGCCAGCTGTGACTGTCCTTGAAGCCGGAGATAGCAGGAGACAGGTCGGGAGGGCAGTGTCAGCAGGGACTGGCTCTCGGGTGCCTGGAAGCTGTTCACCTGAATCCTGCCTGGCCACGCTGCAGGGCACCAGGGGCTCTGTGGGGCATTCTGGGCACTGCAGGGTGCTGAGCAGCATCTCCAGTCTCCGCCACTCCATCCAGGAGCTCCCTGAGTTGTGACAGCCACAGATGTCCCCAGATGATAGCCCACGGTCACCTGGGGGCAGGATCACCCTGGGGGAGGCCCCAGATGACTGGACCAATGCAGGCAGCCCTGACCTGGTGCCCACTCCAGAGGCTTCATCAAGGGCTTCCCGGAGGAAGTGTTATCAGAGGACACAGGAGCAGAGGCTGGACCAGGTGCAGGATGAAGGAGACAGCAAGAAAGTCATGCAAGATCGACCATATTTGACCCACAGGCAATCGGGAGCCATCCAGGGTTCCAGGCTCACCCGAGACTACCGTGAGCTGTCTTGAATCCAGACTTCTTATCTGCAGATTAGGAGGCCGGGACTGGCGGGAACCGTGGATCCACAGGCACCCAGCAGAAGCCCCTGTCCCCGGGCTCCCAGCTGTGCACCCAGCAGGAAGGATGACGCACTTTCTGTGCATCTCTTCTGGGGCAGAAGTTTTCCTGACTCTCTCGGGGAGGTTCCAGTCGGGCACATTGCAGGCAGCTGGTGACACAGCTGCTGGAGGAGCTGAGGCTGCTCTGAGTCCTCTCAGGCAAAACCAGACAAAGCAGTAGTAGAGGCTGTGAAGGGAGCCGAGCCCGTTGTCTCCACCTCAAATTGGGGTAAAGTACTGGGGTTGGAACCCAGGCCCTTTGCACTGAGCTGCAGTCCCAGCTCTTTTTATTTTTTATTTTGAGACAGGGTCTCCCTAAGTTACCCAGGCTGGACTTGAACCTAAGATCCTCCCAGAGCAAGGGATGACAGGCGTGTGCCACCATATCCAGCTAAAATTTGCCATTTTAACCATTTAAGCACCCAGCTCAGCAGCGTTAAGCACATTCCCTTGGCTGTGCAGCTGTCACCACCATCCACCTCCAGAACGCTCCATCTCCCCAGTCTGAGCCTCTGTCCCCATGAAACACTGACTCCTGTCCCCTCCTCAGCCCCAGCACCCCTGACTCCACTTCCTGTCCCTGGAGTCGCCTGTCCTGGGCGTTTCCTGTCCGTGGAGCCCACACTGTGTTCCCTGTGTCTGGTGTCTCTCACTGAGCACAGCATCCTCTGGGTCCCTTCACACTGTATGAGTGTCACGGCATCGCTCCTGTCCTGGATGCATAATATTCTAGTGTGTGACTGGACCTTGCTGTGCATCCGTCTGTTCATTTGTGACACTGGAGCTGTTCCCACCTCTGGCTGTGGGAGCCCTGTGTCACTGGGTCTCTCCTGAGATCTAGCGCTCCGCATCCCCAGGCCCCTGCAGCTGGTGATTTTCACAGGGTGCACTGTGCTCTCTGCACAGAGCTGCTCTCAGGGCTGTGGGGAGACTGGACAGCAGGTGTGAGCCCCACACCGACCCTGGCACCCTGCCCGGCCTGTGGCTCGTTGTTTTTTCTTACCGGGGATCCAACTCGGGGCCCTGCACTTTCGAGGTAGGCGGCGGAAACACTAAGCTAAATCCTTGGCCCTGGCTCATGTTGATGATAATAATCTGCCATGATAAAAATGTGCAAGTTGAGTATGGTGGCACACACCTGTAATCCTAGCACTCAGGGAGGCTGAGGCAGGAGGATCACAAATTCCAACCCAGCCTGGGCAACTTAGTGAGACCTTGTCGCTGGGGATGCAGCTCAGTGTGAAGGCCCTGGGTCCCATCCCCAGTGCTACAAAACAAACAACAAGGAAGCTAGCGTGTGGTGGCCACTGAAGGCCAGGGCGGCTTGTCTGCTCAAGGGACCAGGCTGGGCCGAGGGGAGGAGGGGGCTTCTGGGGTGGGGGCCGAGCTCGGTCCTCAGGAGCATCGGGGTGTGGCAGGGGAGCAGAGGGGTCCGTGAGCACCTGGTTGCTGCTGTGACACAGGGCCACACACTGAAGGGCCTAAAGTCAGGGACATTTATTCTGTCTCAGTTCTGGAGCCCGGAAGTCCGAGAGCCAGACCTGCACCGGGCTGAGCTCCCTCCGAGGCTGAGGAGGTGTCTTCCTGCCTCTCCATCAGGGGTTCTGGGGGTCCCTGGGGTTGTGGCCCCATCACCGGGTCACTGCTTCTCTGCCCATCCCCTCTCTCAGTTCTGAGTATGAAACCAGCAAGGCCTTTGGACTGAGCCACATCCCCCAGACCCTTATAGGGTTTATTTTGAGACAAGGTCTTGCTCAGTTGCCCAGGCTGGGCTGGAACTTGGAATCCTCCTGCCTCAGCCTCCTGAGTAGCTGGGATGATGGGTGTGCCCCACCATGCCTGGCTTCAGGGACACCCTGCTCTGGGCTGACCCCATCTTCAGGACCCCTGTGTGCAGGGCACTCCCTGTCTGCAGATGAGGTCTCTGTCTTCAAGGGCCTCCATACGGGAAGTTAAGGGACATAGTTCAGGCTGTAGTAATCCTCCCTGAGGTTCTGGGTGAATGTGAATTTGGGGGATGCCACTGAGCCCTGTGCAGGGGAGGTGGGGTGCATTCGGTCCTCAGTAAGTGACTGGAGTGTGCAGGAGGGGAGCAGGCGGGCAGTGTCCCCAGGAGGAGGCCACTGTGTGGCCCCGGATAAGGGACCAGAGCACCCTGCCCAGGTGTGCAGGTGTCAGGTTCTGGGGAGGACCCCAGAGCAGAGCCAGGTTCCACCCTGGAAGCCTGTTCTCTGCAGGAGTTCAGCCATGACCCTGAGAAGCCCCTGAGAAGCCCCCGAGGCTGGGTCGACCTTGAACTCTCCTTTGGGACCTTCTCCAAAGGGCACAACAACCCCTTGACCCCCATCACTGGAGATTGAAACCAGGGCCTTTGCATTGAGCTCCATCCCCGGTCCTTTTTACAAATTTTATTTTGAGGGCTGGGGATGTAGCTCAGTGGTTTCGCCGCCTGCCTCACAAGCTCAAGGACCCAAGTTCGATCCCCAGTACCAAAGAAAACAAATTTTATTTTGAGGGCTGGGGATGTAGCTCAGTGGTTTCACCGCCTGCCTCACAAGCTCAAGGACCCAAGTTCGATCCCCAGTACCAAAGAAAACAAATTTTATTTTGAGGGCCAGGGATGTAGCTCAGTGGTTTCGCCGCCTGCCTCACAAGCACAAGGACCCAAGTTCGATCCCCAGTACAAAAAAAAAAAGTTGCTAAGTTCCCCAGGCTGAGCTGGAACTTGCAATCCTCCTGCCTCAGCCTCTCAGACCACTGGGATGACAGGAGTGTGTCACTGCATCTGGCCTTGAGGGATGGATGGAGCACCGGGACTCAAAGCCTGAGGACCAGGCCTAGGCTCTGCCTCTTGGGCTCCCCGAATTACCCCATTTCTTGTCTAGGGCAGCAGTTGTCAACTGGGGCAGTTCTGACCTTAGGGGACACATGTCTGGGGTCACAAGTGGCTGTCACACCATAAGCTCCTGGCAGGGAGCAGGTGGAGGCCAGGGACGCTGCTCACACCCTGCGGTGCCCAGGACGGTGCAGGCTGTGTCTCAGGGCCAGGCTCCCCCACGCTTGAGCAGGGCAGGGATGCATCTTCCCAAAGCTCTGTTGCCCCTTCCACCAGGCCCTTCTGCTGGGGCTCAGGGCTGGCCCCTCCTGGGCCCCCTACATCACAGACCACTCAGCCCTGCCCCACATGCAGGGAAGGGACTTCCAGCCCCATCTATCATGCTGTTCCCAGGGGCAGCAGGGACCCCAAAACAGATGCATCCCAGTGCCACAGGGCCTGGGGGCGTCTCCGACCTCTTGGCTGCACACTGTCCAAAAGGCTTCTCTCCAGGATGCAGGATGGTGCCTGCCTGTTCCTGTGCGAGTCCTCTTCTCTCCACTGCACAGGATCAGTACTTGTCACTTTGGGGTGGCAGCTCTGATGTCCCTTCTGTGACATCCTCCACCAGCAGCTCACCTCTGAGCTCTGTGATTTCCAAGTGAAATGGGCTATTTTACAGGGTCACAAGGATGGCATGAGAATGTTTGTGTCTCCATCCCTAGCTAGTGACCTCCCCTCCCTGGGCATTGTCCCCACCAGGGATCGGCAAACTTTGTCCCTAAAGGCCCAGGTGGTCCCTAGTGCTCACTTCAAGGGCCAGAAACTGCCTGTTTTCCAGGGATTTAGCTCAGTGGTTCTGCCACCTGCCCCGAAATCTCAAGGTCCCAAGTTTGATCCCCGGTACCAAAAAAAACAAACCATATTTCAGAAACTGCCTATTGCCACTACTGGGTCAGCAGAATAAAAATAGCTGAGGAGGATGTGGTTATGATGGGGCGTGGCCATGTGCCAGTAAAACTTTATTGGTACAAACAGGAACTCTACAGCCCGGCTGCTGCTGACCCCTATTTCAGAGGGTCCCCTCCCCCATCGGAGTACTAACCACACACACCTGCCATCCAAACACTCTGGGAGGCTGAGGCAAGAGGATCGAAAGTTCCAGCCCAGCCTGGGCAATTTAGCCACTTAATGAGTCCCTGTCTCAAACTAAAAAAAATAAACAGGGTTGGGGTGGAGCTCAATGCACATGCCCTAGGTTCAATCCCTAATGCTCCAAAATAAAAACAAAACATAGGATCTCCTATGGAGGGACCAGCATGGGCTTGATTCATTCCTCAAATGGGGACGTGGGGTGTCTAAGCTACATTTGGACCCTAGGATTTGTGGTAGGCGATTACGGGCTACAGAGTCTTCTGGGGTCTGTGGGATCCCCTAACCCAGGAGGTCTCGGCCAGAGTGATCCTGCCTTGCAGGAGACCCTGGGCCATGTCTGGGGACACGTGAGGGTGTCCTGGCTGGGAGCTCCTGGTATGGAGTGGGTGGAGGCCGGGGATGCTACTCCACACCCTGCTGGGCCTGGGACCTGGGGCGACCCTGTGAGAATGATCCAGACCTGGTGTGCTCAGCACGCAAGGGAGAGATTGATTCAATTATTTTTTTTTAAAGTTAAATTTTTTTGCATTGTACTACTAAATTATTAAATTGATGCAGGGTTTTCTTTGTTTGGTTTGGAACCCAGGGCCTTTGCACTGAGCTACACCCCAGCCCCTTTTTAAAAAATAATTTTTGTTTTAAATTTTGAAACAGGGTTTCACTAAGTCGCTAAGTTCCCCAGGCTGGCCCGCAACCCAAGGTCCTCTTCTCTCACCGCCTCGCTCACCCAGAGGCAGGTCTGGCTGGGCCCTCCCTCCTCAGCTGCACCCATT